TTCCCCGTGACAAATAAAAAGTTTTTGACAACCGGAAGGAATACAACTTCGAAAGTCTTTTTTAAACGATTTTTCATTTTGCTACATTAGAGCCGTTGCCGAGAAACTTATGGATACATATACATATACACAAAAATTGCTCGTTTAAGAAAATTTCCCGCAAAACCCCCCTATCAGAAAATTTCGGATCCGCCGCTGCCCACAATACACTTTTCCAAGAACTGTACTAATACTTTGTATATTGGGATGTGGTTGGCAGAGTCTAGGGACAACTCCCATTGCTTAAGAGTTTCTGTATATAGCTTTTCGGTGATCAGATACACAAGTCAGTCATTCCTATTTCTCCGTGGGTCTAGCAAGCTGCGTCAGTGCACGCTCTCCATAAGTTTGGTATTGCTGTTGACTATTCAGCTGACGCACTATGAAGTTTCACGATGTTGTGCAAGTAGGCGCACATAAGTCGTATTTTTCTTTGCTGAAGTATATCCCAGGCAACTTTGAAATTGTTGTCTATAACTAGCAAATTTCCGAGGAGCACTTTGGCGTCTCCCGATAGGCAGCCTTTCAGGTCACGTAATTAATAACACAGGTAGAGAACATGTCCTTGAAAGATTAGCATGTTGCAAAGGTTCCGTCGATGGACTTGGTAACTGATTATAAAGTGCGTATTCGAACTCCCCTAAGGACTCACAATAGGCGCCTTCGATATCTGCAAAATCGCTATCGTCCAACTGTGTCTTAGATGCGGTGTCGTTCGATGCTATGGCTAATTGCAAAGATCCCTCGTGTGCCGCGGTAAATTTGGCAGGAAAGTCATCTAGGAATCGTTTACGAGCAATCAAATAACCCCACGTTTGTTTCTACTTCGCGGTTTTTCGTGTGTTTGCCGAAAAGTTAATAATGAGCTTCTTCTTTATCGCCTTCCATGCTGGTGCAATTGCACTTAGTTTGCTTGTTATGGATACCCACGTACTTCTCACGTGGCGTTTTAGCAAAAACGGGTTGCAGCTCATTGATCGCAAAACCAGTACGAGCAGTTGAGTGTTTCGTACAATATTGTGACGTGTCCCCGAAAGGGAAGCCAAAATTTTAAAGTTGCAAACAAAAATGAAACGCCCTCAAAATTGGATCCAATATTCTTTAGTTTATTCCTTTTTTAAAGTGTAGTTTGCTGTAGGAAACCGACTTACTTTCCCAGACGTCGATGAAACGAATAAGGAATAGACAACAAAAGCTTTATTGAAGTGACAGCTCGGTGGTGTGTGTCAGTCGTTTGATTTCACAGCATGTAGCTGTCTGTATGGTACAACGGCGCAGAACTGTGTTGCTGTGTTTTCATGTAGTATAAAGAGGGTTACATTCTAACAATCACTGTAATTAAAATGTTTTAGAATGTCTTCTATCTCCTCATGCGATGCGCGTAAACATTGCCACCTGAACACATATTAACTTTTTTAATCATATCGAAACTGAGTTTTTAATACATGCATACTAGCGTGGGCCGAAAGTTCGCTTTTTTAGAATTTTGATTGGTAATAGCAAAAATATGGTTCATTAAAAATAATATGGTTCATAAATAATAATCTGTGTGAAAGATGACAAGTTTTGTTCAATAACTTAGGCTCGCCCGAGTGCATCAAAGTTCAATATGCTGAAAAAATAAAAATTAATAAATACATCAATTAAAACATTTTTTTTACTAAAATTTCAGGTATTTTCGAAAGTATTAGTCCTACATAATTTGGTATATGGAACTTTTTTGTAGGGAATCGAAGTAAGCTAAGAACATTTTTTTTCAGTACTTGAACGTTGGTGGACTTGGGCGAGCCTAAAATATTGACCAAAAATTGTCATCTTTCACATAGATTATTTTTAGAGCATAATGAACCATATTTTTGCTATTACCAATCAAAATTCTAAAACAGCGGATTTTCGGCCCACGCTACATACGTATGTATTATATTGTATAAGGGAAAAAGCTAAAAATCCTTCAAAAAATTTCGTGAAAAGCTGGATTTCCTGTTTCCCGAAATTTCTCATTTCCTGCCGCTAAATGGACTTCGGAAAAGCCAGATTATTCGGGAAAAGGGCTAAATTCCCCGCGGGAGATAATCCTGAATATGTACGCTCCTCAGAGGTGAAAATCGTACGATAGATGCTGACTTCAATGCACATTGGTCTAGTCTGATACACACATAACGTGCTATGACCGTGACCTATGCTGATGTTGGCATTTTCCCATAATCATATCTATAGATAAACTTGCTTATTTTTCTTCCCTCGAACACCGAACCTACTTCCAAAAAGCTGATTGCGGAAGTTACTGAAAGCACCTACGCTATCCTTCCCACACCAACCGACGTTAATAAAGGTGAGTATAAGTTCCGCAAATTTGTATCAGCTGCAGCAGCCTTTTTCATTACTACTGGATATATCTCGGAAACCCGTCCGAACTTTTCAGCTGAAGCAGCTGTCCTAGCAGATGAGCGTGACAGCCTTCGCCAAGCCCATCCCCGAAATCCCTGCATCAAAGATCTCAACACGAAAATTCAGCAACTAAATAGTAAACCGCCATCAATGGAAGAAGTGGGATGACCGTCTGAAGTTTTGTAACTTAACCGCTGGTGTGAGTAAGCTTTGGGCAACCGTGAGACCAATGTCCTAACCCACGAAGAGCGACGATAGAATGGTAATATCTTTCGGCGACCCCGCTGCGTCGGACCCGGAGCGATGCGCGAGTTATTTTAATCGAGAGTTCACGCTGCATCCTTCTGTGGACAAAGCCAAATGTCGAGTGACCAGCAGAATGCACAAACAGCCAACACCCAGTGCGCCTCTTGCTTTCACCAACGGTGAGGTTCAGGTAGCCAAGAGGAAGACGAAAGCCTTTGAATCTATTGGATCCGAAGGAATTTTCATGCTATTGCTGAAAATATGGGTCCTGCGGAAGTAGACTACCTCACCAAGGTTTTAAATTTGTCCACTCTCATTGTTCCAGACATCTGGGAAATGGAAAGAGTTATCCCAATGCTTAAACCGAGGAAACCGGTCAACAAGGCAGAGTTTTATCGTCCGATAACTCTCCTTTCCCCGGTAGCGACGCTACTTGAGGCCGCGCTCCTCCCTCACTTGGTTGTTAATTTTGCACCCGGTGTACACTGCATTTTCTCAAAATAACTGAGTCCAGAAGTCGGGTTCCAACTTTTGCTATCATTAAAACTTCATCACCAAAAAATTCTAAATGAATTTTAGCAATTTTTGCGATTCTATCTTAAAACCCCAACTCTAAAACTCTCTATTTTTGATTAATTTTGTGGGAGATTTTAGCGATGAACAAAATGAACCGGATAAAGTGAGTGAACTGTTCTGACAGCTCATATAGCTAAAATTGTGATTCCAGCCTATTTTGCATCGCTAAAAATCGCTATATATGTCGGCCGCTGTGGTGTAGTGGTAAGCAGTGCTCGCTTTCACTCACCAGCACCTGGGTTCAAGCCCTGGTCAAAGCAACATCGCAAAAAATTTAGAAAAAGGTTTTTCTTAACAGCGGTCGTCCCTCGACAGGCAATGGCAAAGCTCCGAGTGTATTTCTGCCATGTAAAACAGCTTCTCATAAAAATACAATCGCCGTTCGGAGTCGGCGTAAAACTGTAGGTCCCTCCGCTTTGTGTGACAATATCAAGGCGCACGCCACAAGTTGGAGGAGATGCTCGGCCAAACACTAACATATGTGTAAGCGCCAATCTATTGTTATTATTATTAAAAATCGCTATTTTTCACTTAAATAAGTTAAAAATTGGCGAATAGAAAAATTACTGCTAAAGAAATTTACCAACAAATCACAGCAAATTTTTCTATTGCTGTTAGTTTAAACTACTCAACTATATAGAAAAAACTTTGTAATCAATAGGAAAAATGGAAAAGAGCAACGGATGAGTGACCAAAGAACAAAAGTTAATGCTATAAAATATTTTGAGCTTAATTGAAAAAAGAAAAATTTAGATGGTTTATTAAATCGATTAATTGTAGCTATTTTGAAGTTCTTAAACTAAAAACAAATATATAGACTACATGATGTCTGGTATATATGCCTTGAGCAGATATTCATATCATACTGTCATCATAAAACATTTAATTTTCACATAATTTTACTCCGATATTATTTATAATACAAATGCTAATGCTCCGCTGACCGCTGGTAACTTAATTGTCTTTGCGAATTTACTTACCGCGTTAATACGCATGTATTATTTGCAAATAACAATTTGCAAAATGTTAAACTTTACCGCATAAACGCAAAGTTAATTTTTTATTTGTAAATAACTACATAAGTCACGCAAATAAGAATTGACTAGTGGTATTATTTGCAAATAAGCGCAAGACGTTGCTATTCACATGGTCATCTCTTTATCTTTCTATAAACAAGACGTTGGCATTTTTAGCTTTTTTTTTTTGATGTTCATGTATCAAGTTTTCAGTCATATGAACAGTGAGTTAAGTGTTTGCAAATTATTTTTATTCGCAAATAGCTAACGTATAAACGTTGTATATATTTCCATTATTTCCACAGTATGATTATTTCTCAATTGAAATATAAACAAATTTTGACAGTTGCAGTTGCTGCACAGCGCCACTTTCGGCCGGATAAAGTACTAAAATTTGGGCTGGGCAATTTTTAGCGGCAGGGAGGACAGAATCGAAATTTTGGATATCGCCAAAAATTCGGATAAAATTTTAGCTTTAGCATGTTAGCATATGTTAGCATTTTAGAGATAGCGAAAGTTGGAATCCGGCCCCTCCCCTTACTTTTTTGTTGTTGTATTACAAACTATCAGAGTTTTTGCTTGATTTAAGTGAGGAGATCCCAATGTGAGCAAATCTCCTTTTAGACAAAATTGTCAGTTAGGCGGTTTTTCACTTTAAACGACAACATATTTAAAACATGAAATGGTCCCTTCAGTATATTACTGATACATTATTTCTATTATATTTGATTCTAGCGTCTCACACCGAAGGGCTCTTTACCATCGCAGATCACGACTCCCCCACAGTTACGCCGAAATTTCTATCACGTGGACATTTATATAAAGTGATTGTTGGTGAAACTATAGAACTACCATGTAAAGTCCAAAACCTTGGATCATTTGTTTTATTATGGCGAAAAGGTTCTTCTGTTTTAACTGCAGGACATTTGAAGATTACAAGAGATCAAAGATTTAAAATTGTTGGCGACTACGATTTGCAAATAGCAAATGTTAAAACCCAGGATGCTGGCGACTATATATGTCAACTTGGTGATCAAGAAAATCGGGATCAGGTTCATACGGTCGAGATTTTAGGTATGTATGGATGCTATTCAGAATTTATTTCATATGAAGTTATTTAAATCAAAAATCGGTGGAAAAATTCTATAACCAGTTAGCGATAATTTTCGCTTTTACAACTTTCCGACATTCATAACACACATCGACAAATTACAGTAAAATTGTGATATGGAGCTACAATTTCACGCTGGGTATTTTCAGTGATAAAAATTTACCCAAACGTTCTTTTATTTAATTTCATTTATTAATCAATGCATTAGTACAGTGATATTTATAAATATCTTGTGAAACAGTAATCTATATACATATATATACATATATATGAGTCAATAAAAGTAAAAAGGAGTGGGGTAAACAAAATTGGCACAGGTATTAGGTTGAAAAAACTTAGAATATGAAACTTTGTACCATAACTATAGCTATATAATTACATGTATATACATATATACATATGTAGAGGGCTCATCTCAGAGTAACAAGTATAAAAGTTAAGACTAACTAGCGAAAGTATGAATAAAAAGTCTTAAGGTTGCTTTTATTTAAAGTATTACGGATAGTGGCTGGAATAGTGTTCCATATACGAATAGCGTTGACAAAAAATAGCCTTTCAGAGCTGAGATAGTTGTAGCCAGGGATAATTAGGTCATTTATGCGCGTTGATTTTGGAAATATTAATTTTTCATACAGGTAGCAAGGAGTTTTATCCATCATAAGACGAAATAGGAATACACAATTTCTAGCTTTCAAGTAATCAGTGATTTCACAGCCCAGCAGGGGTATACTCAAATTTTGCTATACCAAACAGGGTTGTTGAGAATATTATTCCGAAATAAAAGTGTTTTCCGGATAATAAACAAACCGCTTATCCAAATTAAACAAGTTTTTTATCAAATGAAAGAAGACTTAAATAGCTTTAAAACTGAAATTTCTAAACGAGGAAAGCCACATATTGAAAAATATTTCAACAAAAAATGTTAATTAATTACCATAGAACAAACCTTGTGTCAGGTATATGCATTTCTTTAGTATTAAATTATAAAAAAACATATAAATAAAGGTATTTCGTTATTTCTGTTTAAAAGCTAATTCAGTCCTCTTTCATATAATATATATAATTTGTTTAATTTGGACAGGCCGTTTGTTTATTATCCGGAAAGGACTTTTATTTTGGAATATTATTCGTAACAACGCTGATACCAATTTCATACCTTTTACTTCAATTTTGTTTGACTAAAACGAGTAAAAGGTCTGAAATTTTAAGAAGAAGGAATTGTTTATTTTTATTAATATTGCCCATTATCGGAAGTATTGCCCGTATTGGAAGTTTCCAACTGATATCAATTGGTGTAAAAGAGGCAGACATTCTTAAGTTCCTCAAATTATAATACAACTTTCCAACAAAAGAGTTTATATGATCAACACACGTAAGTCTAGTTAGTATTGTCGCACTTGGTCAGATCCATATATTAATAACGAAAGGTTTTATTTTGTTATTTTTTTTTAACTTATTATTTTATTCAGTTCTGTGCATCCCTCAAACCGGCAACTTTGAAATAGTGATCAGAAATGGTTGGGAATTTTTTTCTGGCATAACTTGGGCATAATAAACTACATGTCGTCATCTATATACCATTTTGTCGCTTCGTTTGACTTCCAGGTGAGATAAACGAAACCGTCCCTCCAGGCACTCATGTCGGTTAAAGCAAAAAATATGAACAGATAGAAATTTTATTAAGTACCAACGGTTTTATTCCAAAAAGTTTAGCAGTGCAATGGAATCTAGAAAAATGTATTACTTTTTTGAGTGCTATTCCAAAAAGCAATTTTTTGCCGCAGATCAAATAAATATAAATTGCATACTTTTTACAAAATTTGCACCATTTTTTGCCACTTTCTCGAGCCATTTAGGAAGTTGATTGTTACCATTGAAAAGAACGTCATCAACATGATATACAGATTTTCTGCCAACACTCAGAGCAGCAGGTTGCGATTCATCTTGTGGAGGAGAAGGTTGACTTGTTGAAGATGGGCCACCAACCGAACGCGTTTGAGTGTAGCTCACAAGACCAGCAGCGATCTGTTCTCGGAATTCAGGTATCAATGAAATGATAAAAACGGCGGTCATTGCGTCCATCCCCATCTCGGAACGACGGGAATCTTTTTGTGACTTCAAGCCGTTTCAATGGCATCGTTTTGCGAATGGGTTCGAATACATTCTTCATTAACTAGCTTTCTAAATTCGGGGGGGCGTTAAACCGACATGTATAAATGAATGCCGATTTACTGCCAGATATCATCGACATTCACATTGAATCTCAAGTTTATATCCTGATTAAGTTAGAGCATACCGGTTCGTCTCTTAAACAATCATTTCAATTATTTCTTTAGGGAAAAAATATAGAAATAATTGCGCCGGTCTTGAGAGCGTTTTTGTGTGCTCAGGTAAGCCACGAAATGCCACCTCATTTATATGAAGTTTAAGGTTTGTTTTGCACCAGATGACTTTGCTGAGTTCAGCGGAATCTCTGTTTATTTATTTAATGTCTGCAATAAAAAATCCATACGATCAGTACGTAAAATCAATTTTCCAAAGATGTGAGAGAAACTCTTACTGCCATCAAACCACCATTGGTTGGTACAACTGCTGGATCGGTAGCTTCGGCTATACTACTAGTCTCCACAGAATCCATAAATTCAAGAATTTCTTCGGCTGATAACTTCGACAATTTCTCACGCGACATCATGGAACGATTTGCATATATTGTTATTTAGACACTTTATGAAAAACTGGTGAAAAATGTATAAAAAGTATTTGCATAACTAAAACGCAATAGAAAAATGCGACGCGTAAAAAAATTCGCGACGAACGACAAGAGTGCCTTGAGGCACACTTAGATTTTTTGCTATAGAACATAAAATCCAACTATTTTCAACACCGTAGATATAAAATCGTAAAGCTTATGACTGAAACTTTACGGGTATAAAATTCTTGAGTTAAAAGAACGTTGAAAATCAGAAATTTTATAATACGAAAACAGGACCTTCTCCTCCACCTGTTCGCAAAAAACGGATTACAGAGGACAAACGGCCCGTCGGATTACATTCTAATTTGAGAAAGAAATGTCATCAAACATATGATCAAGAGCGTTGAACTCACTTGCGTAATGAAAAATTACATCTTCATATGCAAAAGGTGATTTTTGTGATCCTTGCCTTGAGGCACTCTTACCGGTTAGAGGGATATATGTTTGAAAGTTCGCAGTTTGGGTTTTAATAAAGTCAAATCTTACAAGAGTGACACGTGTTAGAACCTTTTTCTTATTTTTTCTATTCTAGCGATACAGGAAGTATAAGTCGATCTACGATTATTCATCGATTATTTATTTATGTCTTCGTATAAACAACAGATTCTCCTATTTTTTTGAGATTTAAGTTTCTTAAACTAAAAAAGTAATTTAGTTTCAATTTTATAGTTATTAAAAACAAATACCAAGCTTACAATCGTAGGTATCGTAATATAGACTTATTTTGGAAAACATGAAATGGTATGAATTCACATCTATATCCAGAATACATACTCGTATGTATGTATGTTCAAGTTAGGTTTTCTTTTAGTTAATTAGTTTCTCACAGTGATGTTAAAATTTATGTTTTTCAAGTGGTGATTTGCTTGACCTTATTTTGTCGGTCCAAACAGGAATCTCGATTTACTGTTGTTGGGTAGCTCGTTTCCAATGGGATGGTGACAAGAAAGTGGCAGACTTACGTTTTGATGATTTTGGGATAATCGGCGAATGGGGGTCCAATTGCTGTCAAATGAATAGACCAGGTTTTGCATTCACAACTTCTTTATTTTCCCCTGCACAATTTGGTTGGGGATTCGCCGGAAGAAATGTGACGGAACCCTTTGCCTTTGACTGAACCAGATACAAGATAAAAAAAAACTGCAAACGAATAGCACGATTAAATTCTGTTACCGCCTCGAACACTTTGCACACTTACGGCTTTTTACTGATAGCCTTTTTCCTTATGTTTGGGCTCAGTCGATTTCCCTTTATTAGATATGGGTGAATATCGACTAACTGAATGTCGCCAGCTTTTAACCCAGTTTAATTATTTGGTTAAGATTACTTCCGTTCTTGCGAGGGCTGATGCGTGTGGTTCGCTCCGTGTCCAATTCGGGAAAGGAAGAATATTTCCTTAGCCTCGTGGTATGTGACCACCGATTCTTTTATCGTGTGTAAGTGTGGGCGTTTCCCTATTGTCACTGTCAATTCGTGCCTATGCCGATATGATGGTTCGTGTCTTGGATAACATTGGTTACATACATTCATCTGGCAATCCCCCCCATTTTGAAGTTTAGCTTTGACAGTTTTGTTATGTTTACATTTCTTATAATCGTTCTTATGTCTATTATTTGGGCAATAAAAATAATAGATCATTATCCCCCTCTCATCTTCAGCGACACGTTAACAAAAAAAAAATGTGGAGCGTTTAGTAGGGATATGAGAATGGTGGTTAGAATGCAATTCACGGGCTGTGGTTTGATCGACGTTAGACCTTACATCGAAATCGTTCCACATGATCTTCATCAACCCCATCCTGACTCGTTCAGTTCGCCTTTAAGCGCATATGTATGTATGTACAAATGCTCCGTCTTTCGTATTTAGTTTCAGTACGCATTACATAAGCTACGGTAGATGAAAGGCATTGGTAAATGATTTGGTTATGAAACTTTTCTTATTTGCTTTGATCGATTTACTAGCAATGTACTGAGGATATAATATAACAAAACTATGGATATAACAAAACTAAACTTAATTAATTTATTCCAGCCGGGTACCCTGTAATAAGGCAGGATCAATGGAGTCTGGAGGCCCGCCATATATTCATCGAAATTCTTGAGAAGGCGAATGTACTGAATGAGTTAGCGTGTTGTAATTAAATCGGCGGAATAATTGCCAAGCACTCGGTGTTTAGCATCGATCAGTTCATATGAGTTCGAACCAAGTTTC